ATAAACATGTCTGCAAATCCTTCATTTTTGTATTAAGCTTAAAGAAAATTTATGGTAGATGGTGTTGTGTTGCCATGTAGACTAGGTTACATTTGTCATTCATGTACATTTGTGGCTAGTCTGTCTTCAACATTTATGTAGTAGTGAGTTAATTGAGAAGTGTCCTGTTTAACAATGGCAGGATATTCGTGTCATGAGCAGGCAGATGATTTTTACATACAGCTGCACAAATGCTAATGGATGTGATGCTTCACAGCTGTATCAGATTATTTTGAGACCAAAGGCAGCTGAGTCATCCAATCTTTGCTGCTGTTTATCATACTGTTTATTATACAATCCCAGTATCAACACACAAGTGGCTCAAGCATGTTGTACACCGCATGGAGGGTACTTCAAGAGAAGTTCCTGTATCTGTATTATCTGCAATGTGTACAGGGTCTTTTGCCCTCTGATTGCTCAGAACTTTTGCTGATGATTTATTGCACAAACTACCAATGTTTTGTCTCTTCAGTCTTGTTTACAGATGAGGTAGCATTTGGAAGAGATGGAATAACAAATTTACACAACCAACAATTGTGAGCAGTTCGGAATCCCTATGGTACAATACAGGCTAGACACTAACATAAGTTTAGAATTAATGTATGGGCTGGAATTGTAGGTGACCGTGTGATAGGTCTATACATTCTCCCAGCACGTCTTACACAAGCTGTCTACAGGGACTTTATTTCAAACATGCTTCCAGATTTGCTAGAGGCTGTACTCCTGATAATACGAAGATGCATATGGTTTATGGATAATGGGGCTCCAGCACATTGTTTGTGATGCACTGGCTGACACCTACCATGAAAGATGTTCTCCTGACCTCAATCCTTTGGATTTTTATCTGTGAAAACAATTGGTTCATGCAGCAGTTATTAATAATGCAAAGATGTTTCAATGTGTCAGGGGCCTGCAAAACCATTCGACATGTGAGTATTTGAAAGGGTCCACCAGTCAATGATCTGACAGGTGCATGTGTGTATAGAAGCCAGCAGAGGATATCTTGAACATTTGTTGAGTTGCTGTGTTGAAGTACTAAGATGGCCTTTTGGACATGCTTATATGGACATTTTACCTTGTTTTGGTGTCAGGAAACCATCCCAAAGTTGTATTTTAACTGTAAACTTTAAACTCAAAAATGAAGGATTTGCAGACATATTTATATGGACTTTTTGTCCTTGTTTTAGTGTGATGAACTCATCCCTAAAGTTGGTAAAAGTACTTTTGATACACCCTGTATGTATATATCAATAAAGGCACCCCCCACCACCACCACATACACACACACAAAAAGCATCTTGTTCATCCTTGAAAGACTAATATGACAAACTTGATAATCAGTAAGCTGGAGAGTATATTATATGTAGGTGTCATAATTAACTACAAATTGTTTAACAAAGTAACAAATGTGAGTTCATATATATATGAATCTGTTTTCCTTCTCATGGAAGCTGCATGAAATAGACAGGTACCAAATGGGATACATGCTTGGGCAATCAACTCTTTCAATTCATGACAGACTAGGCAGAAAATTTTCCCACAGTAGGTTGCCATTTCCTTCTGTCATAGACTGGCTGCCAACCAAAGCTATAGGACCCATACCTTTCTGAAGGGTATTTGTGCATAAATGAATGTAAAAAAAAAAAAAACTTAACTGGAATTTAAACTTGGCTCTGATTTCTCATTCCGAGCTGATATCCATTATACCGCAACACACATGACAAGAAACATTAAAATGAGAACAATCATTGTAGGCTATCAATAATTGATTAACAAAGTGCATAATTAATAATATTTATTGTTATTAATAATAAATGAAAAACAGAACAATCTTGTACTTGATAAGAAATGTAATCATAGAACTTGAGCTGTTAGGCACTTGGTTAATATGCTAGCCATGGAGAACAATTTGCTAATATAGCAAGTTTGATTCCTACTCGGTGAATCAGTACTGGATTTTATAACAGACTTGACAAAGCTGAGGTGAATAATCAAAAGATCCAATTCTGTTTAGTTATAAGGTTGTCTGGAAAGTTCATGCAGATTTTTAGTCATTCATGTTCCAACATGTTAGAAAATGTCAAATTTATCAACAGATATATGCTTACATATTTCCAATTAGAGCACACTTCAAACTACCTTGAGAAAGAAAGTTTAAAAAATATTTAATTTGTACCAATTTTGCATCCCTATGGAAGATTATCAGGTGCATTCTAGACACTTAATGGTTTAAAAAAAAAAAAAAAAAAAAAAAGCCCAAAATGCCTTGCAGGCAACAAAAAAAGATATGTGCTGTGTACAGTGAAGGTGCTTTAGCTGACAGAGCTGTATGGAAGTGGTTTGCTAAGTTTAGAGTTGGTGATTGTAGCCTTATTAATGAAGAATGCTCAGACAGCCCCCTCCCCCAAACTACAGATGATGACAAAATCAAGACCCTGAGAATAACCCACATTGCACATGGGAATTGGCAAAAAAACTAAATTCATCAAAACCCACCATCCATGAGTACTTAATGAAGCTATGATGTTTGGGTAATATGGGTGAAAAGAATCTTTTAGATCACATTCAATGGAAGTTGCTGTATAGACGCAATGAAAATGAATCTTTTTTTGATGCAAATTGTGACAAGCAATGAGAAATGGATTGTTTACAATAATCTTGTTAGCAACATGAGCCAACTTTAGCCACCTCAAAAGCAGGGCTTCATCCTAAGAAAGTCCTGCTGTGCATCTGGTGGGATTGGAAAGGAATCCTGTACTATGAACTGTCAAGTAATCAGTCAATTGATTCTGAAAAGTACTGCTTGCAACTGGACAAAAGGTAGCAATTCAAGAAAAACGTCCAGAATTGGCAAAAAGAAAAGGCGTTGTTTTCCATCAGGATAATACCAGACCTCACGTTTCTTTAACGACCCAGCAAAAACTGTTGCAGCTTGGCTGGGATGTGTTACCCCACTTCCCATATTCATCAGATATTGCTCCCTCGGATTTTCATTCATTCAGGTCCTTGCAAAATAATTTCAATGACAAAAATTTTAATTCTTTGGATGACATAAAAAACACCTTAATGAATTTTTTGCCAAGAAACCACCAAAATTCTGCGGAGACTGAATCCAAGTTGAAGGAAAAATGGAGTAAGGTTTTGCAACAAAATGGTTCATATATAGTTGAATATTTAATGGCATAATTTTGTTTTGTGTTTTAATTTCCCTTAAAAATCAGCATGAACTTTCCAGACAACACATTATATGAATATTTATATCCAAGTGATACTGTAACAAAAGGTTCTGTTTACTGAAAATGTTAATACCTTTCTCTGATTATGTCATAACTGACTTTTCAAATCAAGCACTAACATCAAATGGTGGGAATAGTTTTCATTAAACTATCTAACACAATCTCCCTGACTGATTTTCAATACATAACATATAAACTTGGCACTCTAACTAAATTGAAAAAAGAAAATAAAAAACTGCAAAATATGGTGCTTTATCATGAAAATTTCTAGCTATAGGTGAAAATAGTTTCAGTCATTTTCTACACTATCTTTGGGAGTGAGTGGCGCATTAGCAGTAAAGTCAACTGACAGTAATAAGAAATAACTATGCAGTCTGGAATAATTATACTAGTGTAAATTGTTCAATTTGTATAAGCATTCCACTTCAAACAAATGTGAGAATATGTTTTATGATGTTGCACAATTCCTAGAACAGAATAACTGTCGCAAAGAATTTAAAAAAGAAAGGAAAAAACTATGTCATTCCAGATAAATCCTCTGCATAGTCTGGGGGTGAAGAAATAAGTTAATTGTGCAGACATTTGTATTTAGCACACAAGAGTATTGTGTTCAAATGTGGTTAGTACTTAAACCATTATTGTTATTTTGTGTTACTAGTTTATTATTATTAGTGAATGGAAGGTTATACACACTAGTAAAAATATTAATAAAACTAATTAGTTTTATCTTAAAGTTTGATCTTTATAAGTGTGTTGAATTTCTGTAAATGTTGAACACTAAATAGAATTGTTATCTCAGAATCAATTTAGTAAAAACAGAATTAGTAGCTTTTTTGAAGATAATTCCTTCAGTAATATTTTTATTTAGCATCCAAATAGACAAGCCTACAATAAAGTTCAAAGTCATTCCATATTTATTTATATATTGCCCATGCTATTTTTTATCAATCCTTTCTGCATGAAGGATTTATTTTGATTTTTAAAAATTACTTTCTAAAAAGGTTAATCTATAATTTACTAGTATAAAATAGATGACCAGATTAACAGTATAAGATATACTAGAAATCCTGTTATTACATTCTGTTCAATGCATCACTATGAGGAATGAGAATAGATACACAAGTTAAAAATAGCTTTGTGCATATGCCAAAATACAATAGTTTGTGCTAAAAATGTTCATTTCATTACTATGAGATACTGGCATTGAGAAGAATATTATTCCTTTTAAAGAATATTCCTTTTAATCTATAAACCTGTTATTTTTAATTCTGTTTATTTTCAAGAATGAGATGTTATCTCTCAGCATCAGAAGTAATAAAAATGTTGAGCATTATTACTAATATCTTAAGTTGCTTCATGTATTTCTTAATAAATAAAAGAAAATTTTTTTGGAAAAAAAAAAAAAAAAAACTTCCCCCAAATTCCTGAAAACTTTTCCAAACAAATTCAACCATATCATATGCAAGCTTCTATTAAAAAAAAAAAAAAAAAATTCCTATTTAATAAAAACAGGAAGAGAAGTTACTAAAAAAATATCAAAATTATCTTAAGTTGAAAGAAAGAGAGAGACAAGAATTTCATACAGTAACAAAACGATTTTTTTTGTTTTTTTTTTGTGTGTGTTCCAGTTTATTGGTATAGCCATCAGATAACAAATTCTGACGAGGATTGGTGACCAAACTTCTTATGCACCTGCCTGGGTGACTTCGCTATTTCTTAAACTTATCAACTTGTTCCTGAAGGCCTGAAGAAAGACAAAACACATTAGACAATTTATATTATATCAAACTTTCATTTCTTTTTAGCTTATAATAAAAATTTCAAATTGACAAGCAATAAAAGTAAATGATAAAAATATTTCTGAATCTTCTATATATTTAAAATACAATCTTTTCTATTCTAATAGTAAATAAAAGTAATACATTAGGAAAATGTACGGAAAATATTTGATTCGTATGTTACCTTGATTGAACATGGAGTTTTAATAAATGTAAACAGACTTATGGCTTTTAATAATAATAACAAAAAAAAAAAAAAAAAAAAAGATGAACAAATTTGTTGTGAATTTGATCACTTTCTAAAAACAACATTATTCTCAAATCAATGACAGACAATTTTGAATTGTTATTGATCCTTATGGTTCAGTAATTACTTTTAAAAACAATAAGTTAATATCAAAAGCAACTTACTTGGCCCATTCAACATTGAGAATCAAGTGATCATAACCATAGCCAGAAACACCAGCAATTGCCCTGGCAGCATCTTCTCGCCGGTGGAAGTTGATGAAAGCAAAGCCCTGGGAAAAAAAAAAAGGTCAAAATTTTAAAATTAAGACATTACCAATTTCAATATTACTAGTTAGCCTATGCCACATTTGTACTGAAGCTCAATATTAAAATAAAATTCAAGGACAATTTAAAGACAAAGACGTTATGACAGAAATACTTTTTTTTTTAAAAATCACCTCCCCATCATAATATACTGTCTTCCTAAATTTTGCTTTAACTACCTCACCCTCCAGCAATATATCAGTTTATCAAAATGTTAAGAAAAACAAAGAAAAAAATTTTTTTTTTTGTCTACCCTGGCCAAATTTCCCAGTATCATAGAAAAATACAATAATAAAACTAAATGAGAGGAACATTAACTTGAACTCTGCTATGTTGTTGAAGCTGACTGTGTCAGCTTCAACAACATAGCACCTTTGCTATTTGTCACCTTTGCAATTTGTAAAGGATTTGAACAGAATGGTCAATATCTTTTGCAAGACTTTTCTTAAACAAAAGTCAAAATTCTATAATTTATATCATTCTAATTACTTTTTAACACTACAAACATTTTAAAAGTCATATGGCGCAACCTCCATGGGACTAATTATCAGATGCCATAGTGAATAAAAAAAGTTATTAAAATATTTGAAAAATTAAATAAATATGAACAGTAACTACTTTTTAATCAATTCACTCCATGAAGGCAATATAGCCACGAAGACACAAGGGTGATTGAATGTGAAAGAATAAGATAAAAAGAGAAACCTTAAGTGAGATCAATAGAAGACTAATCAAAACCGTAGATAATGATTGACAATGCATTTAATTTTTTAAAGATCAAAGTTGATGGAAAGCACAGAGCCAAAAGAGAGTTCTACAAGCAAAAGAAACTTGGCATAGAACTTATGGTTACATCTAGACAATTCAACTGTAAATTGAGATATTGCTACCAATCTAGTACTGCACTTATGCCATTTTAATCAGATATACTAAGTTATTTGTATCTTTATAACAATTTGATCGCAAACTTAAAAAAAAAAAAAAAACACTAAATGCAGAGAGAAAGAAAAACAAGGAAAAAAAGAGAGCAGTAAAAAAAAGAAGAAAACTGGCTCCTTGTTGTTTTACCTACCTTAGACTGTCCAGTATTTTTATCTTTGGCCAGATAAATTCTGTGAATAGTTCCAAATGGTCTAAACAGTTCTTGAAGGTCAGATTCACGTGTGTCTTCAGAAAGATTTGTGACTCGGATGGTAGCAAATTCATCTGGAATAAAAGACAAGAAAAAATTCAGAAATAAAAAGTCAAACATTTTATTAGAATCATGGAATTAAAACCAGAGTTGGAAGCAATTCTTGGGTTATTGGAGTCAATGACAATGTACTAATTCTGGTTCCTAATAAATTTGTAATATAAATGTTATGCAAGATGGAATTTGTGAAAAGCAGTTGTGTCTAATTTTTTTTTTTTTTTTAATAGATTCTGTTAATGTTTGTTTAACCCTTTAGCATTCACCCCTTAAATATCAGCTCACAGTGTTCAACGCACTGTAATTCCCTCTATTTTTTTTTAAAAACAAATGGGAGACCCTCTATCAGTATGTTATAAAAAATGATGGCTGTGAAAAAGTATGTGATGCAAAAATTAGTAGTTTTAGTGGTTCTGGCAAAAATGCACCTACAAGAGAATCAAATTTAATAAAGACAGTATGAGAGTCTGTGAATTGGAAAGATAGCAATAAAAATATTCCATTGACAGAGCCAAACACAATCACCCAGATTCTTTACACCTGAAAAAGTTAGCATAACAATGATGTCAGAAAAGCTTAAAAACTGCCCCACTGAAATGGTAGTGAAAATAATCTTTCTATTCTCAGCACCTCCCCCAAACGAGTCTTTTTAGGCTTGAATGGAGAAATGGCTTAAAAATTTGAAATTTCTTTGGAAAGAGTAAGTATAATGAGGTTGATAATTTAAAAGGGTAAATATAAGAAAGAAAATGTGAAAAGGGATGCCTTATCTCTATCAAATGGAAAGCACGTCAGAGTCACAGAATCAATTATTTTGCTATTTCAGGGTTCCCACAGATCTGTGTAAAAAAAACAAAACAAAAAAACCCAGGACTTTTAAAGGACTTTTCCAGGACTATGTTAAGAAGTTTCAAGGACTGAAACTGGTGTGCATGCACACACACACACACATACAGTGAATGGTCATCAATTTCAAAAACAAACTGTGATTTATCTTTTAATAGTTTGACAGATGAGATGTTCAAAGAAAAACTACAGTTGGTTCCAATAATTCATGTCACATGGATGGATCAGTTAAAAGCAGTGAAGAAATCCAGATGTTGAAGGCTAAAACACAACTGAATGCAGACCTGGTTGTGTTACACATTTTGTGTAGTATTCTACACATTTTGGAGTTCTACTACACTTGAAAAGTTTGAATTTTTAATTTTTTAATTCTTACTGCTACACATTTCAGCTCTCTAGACTACTTCTAGATTGTGAATGCCACAAAAATTCTTGACTGTTGCACATTTCCTGTGAAGTATAATGGTTTTAATGAAAAGAATTACAAATAGAAATTTACAAATACACATTTTAGCTACCCCTACTACTCATAGCTTTTGTTACACATGGCACAGAACACAATAACATTTTTTCAGTTCATCTAGTTTAGCATTCATCTCCTCTTCCAATTTTGATATCACAATAGATTTTTGTATGGCATTGGATTTTGCGATAAGTGTGAAGTTTTGAGTCTGCTCAGCTTTCTCTGCATTGCTGTCAGCTGACTTGGAACAATCTTGTTTTCAGTTCTTCACTTACTATAGTAAGTGAAGAACTGAAAAACAAGATTGGAGCATGGATTTTTTATCCAGCTGCCATTTTTCTTCTTAGCCCCAAGGTATTGGTTGTATATTTTTTGGGCATTGGAAACACTGCAGTGACAAGCCTTTCAACTACAAATTCAACGAGTGAATTCATTCATCTTTGACAAAGATATTTACTTGTCTGTGACACCTTTTATCTTTGCTTTTCCTCTTTTTTTGTTGAGTGAGGGTAGAAGCTAGAAGTCACACTTTCATATTCTTTCTCCCTTTCTTTCTTGTCACCTAAACGAGAAGATAAAGTAATTTTGATGTCATAATCTTATTCTGATTAAGGAAACATTTGGTGGACTAGTTGACAAGTAGTGCACTATGAGCTGCCACCAAGGAGCCAAACCGTTATTGTGAACAGGTACTTGCAGCAGTTGGAACATGTGCAATAGGCACCAAAGCAGCAGCCAGTATAGGTTAATTGTAAGGGTGTACTGTTCCTCCATGACAATGCCAGACTTGTGGTGTTGGCAGCCAGGGATACCATACAGCAACTTGGCTGGGAGACACTGTGCTATCCATCCTACTCCTTGAACCTTGCACCAACAAATTACCACCTCTTCCATCCCCTGGACCACCACGTTCATTGGGAATACTTTGCAAATGAGGCAGACTTGCAGCAGACACTCACAGACTTCTTTGTATCCAAGACACCTGATTTTTACTTTTTTGTTGGCAAAAGTTTCTGGATATTGATGGGGGTTACTTTGAAGACTAACAGTATGTCAAATTTGCTGTATACCTTTTTTTTCTCTAATAAATCAAAAATGGCAAGGACTTTTTTGGTTACATGTGGCAAAAGTAATTCCATTTCTGAAAATGTTAATAAATTTTAGATTTTATTTTTTTGATTTAATACCTATTCTACAGCTAGATACTAAGTTTCTTTTAAAATTTTGTAGAGGATGAATTTCTTTAAAAGTGGGTACTGGTGGAAAAGTTAAATCCCTACTGCTATAATACTGACATCTGCCTCTGATATTGTGAGTCAATAATAAAAAGGATGCATTACTTTTTGAGCAATACTCATAAAATAAAGCCAAACTTTAACAGGTCAGGGTTCTAAAAAGTGAACTGTTGATTGATTCATGTTGGCAATGATGAAATATCTTGTATGTTACCTGTTTTCAATTGATATAGGAAATAAATAATTAATATATTTATTATTTTTTATACTGACACAAAGGAGTCAGAGCCAAAGTTTCCTTGTACCTTTTCAGATACCTACCTTGTGTGCACACATGTGCACAGCATTAAAAGAAAAAAAAAAAAAAAAAAGTACCATACTACATCCAATGCACTGGTATTATGAATGGACAGCCAAACACTTAAGGTTTAAACTGTATAGATGGAGAGGTGTAAAACTCAGTTGCAATGATCAGTCATCTCTTGTAAACTATCTCATATCACAAATATAGTGCACATACTACATGTCTGAATTAGACCCAAGTGATCTAAGTTTATATTTTTGAACACTTATGAATAAACAAAACAAAAATATTATTTAACCCTTTTGTTCAAACCTGCCCTAGAATTATTGGATCTAAGTCTCACTGTGTGACTTCTCAAGTTATTTGTGATGATGTCATGACAGATTATGACAGAGTACACATGGGGACGAGTTACAGTAGGTTTAACATTGAATGAATGCTGATATTTACGAGGTAGGTTGAATGTGACTGAAAAATTAAAATGAGGCCATTTGTAACCATTTCCGCAACAATCTTTTCAGTGCACCGATTGCAAATTTTTCTAACAGAACCAATTTATTACTTGATTACATATTCTCAAAGTGAGTGATATTTATTGATTACTTTCATCTCCAGGTGTACTTTAAGCTAGTCAACATTATGAAGAATCTGAAGATAATATAGCATGTGTTTAATAATATGCCACTGACTGATCCCTACTGTAAATAATAATGAGTGCAACTAATTTTTATTGCTATCATTGCCAAGGTAGTTTAAGATAGTTATGATTTAATCAAACACCCACTTTATTCTGTCAACCATTCTGGTATGCTATGGACAATAACCAAGATTTGAACTGTTTCAAAATTCCATTACTAACGCCAACATTAAGAATGAATTAATATAAATAAATTATAAAAAAAAAACTGACCTCTCTTGCTGTTATTCATAGATTCTCCTCTTCCTTTAGTTGCACCATCTCGAAGACTAGGAGGTACATATTTTCCAGTCTTTGACACAGCAGAACCAGTGCCAGTACCACCAGCACTAGCTTCAGGTTTCTTTTCTCCTTCCTTGAGGTTCTCTTGTAGAGGTTGAAGTGTGTCCTTGTATGGACAACGTGTGGTCCAATGGTCACCCTTACAGATACGACAGGAGACCAATTTCTGGTTCTTTAGTTTCTGTAGAGGGTCTTCATCTGTCTCAACCTGAGCCTGAATGAATGAAACAAAGTTTAAAAATGAAAGCTCCAAAAATATTTGCAAAAGCATTACATTGAACTTTTTTTTAAATCTGTATTCATATATACTTGAAATCATTTTGATAATTATATTAAAAAAAAATCATCAGATTTCAAATTTCATTTACACCTTGTCAGAAAGACATTTAAAATAAAAAAAAATTAACTTACATGTAGTATACCACAGACATTTTTTTTAAGTATTCTAATGTAATTATTTTTATTTATAAAAATATACAGCAGTCAGAAGAGAAAATAGTTAACAATGAGAAGCTAGTTTTATTTTCAAAGATTCAGAAACAAAACTGATCATGTCTAAAAGGGAAAATATGTAAATACTGACCTCTTTATTGTTTACAAAAGTCATGGGAATTTCTTCTGAAATAATAGTGTTAGCTGGATTAGGACCAGGTGGGTCATTCTCAGCAGATCCAAATTTCTTCCATTGCTACAAGTTTAAAATCAAAAAAATAATCAACACAAATTAACACTTGCTATTGACAAATTCTAGAAGAAATTGAAAGGGATAGACACGCACATTATATATATATATATATATATATATATATATATATATATATATATATTATTTTCATAGAAAGGCTTAAGACAATAGATAAGTTTTCTATTAACAACTTACATGATGTAACAAAATAATGAAAATTGTCAAAGCATTAAATGTTTTCAAATTTACTTTCCATCACATCAGCAATAGATATTTGTACCATAAAAATATGGTATTCACTTGCAGAAAAACAACATATATAGACTATATGAAAAAAAAATATTCAACAGATTTCACCATCAATAAATACTAAATAATTTGCAAAGATCAATGTAAATTATAGCATTGATTGAACAGATGAGTTGCACTGTTAATTAATTTGATTTTTCCAGTTGTTTATATCTTATTACAAAACACCAGAGTAAAATTATAATTTGATAGGTAATGGAGGCATCTTAAAAAGTTTGGTTTTGAGGTAGAATTGATTATTGTAATAAGATTTTTTAGAATTTGCAGCTGATTGAGAAGACAGATTCTACATATATCAACATTTGTTCTTTTTTCACCTGAAAATATGTATATGAGCAAACAAAACATCAAATCTGATATAATCTTGGCAATCTGCCTTTGAACAAACATCTTTTTGAAAAATTAAACTAAAGGATTTTAACTGACAAATCTTTGTCACCAATTTCACTTAAGTATTTTCAATTACAAAACAAAGGATTTTTTTGTAAAAATTGTCTTTTTTACTATATTAGTATAATGCAATGTAATGAAAATGACAAATTACATTCAGACATAAAAGCCACTGTTTATAAAAGAGCATACTGATGGTTATATGATAACCATCAATGTGCTCTGCCATATCATAAAGACATTCAGTTTAAAGTCAGGCAAATTTAAACATTCACTTGAATGTATTTGAGTGAATATATATTAAGTCTTTACAGCCCTCTCTGTAAACAGAAGTGGTGACCTTTAGATTTGAATGCCTATCATTTTGATTAGGTTGTGTCGTACTAAGGAAAAAAAATTAATTTAATAAAAAGAAAAGAATTCATTTATCAATTGATATGAAAGAAATATTTTGGTAGGATTTTATATCCAAACAGTAATACTTACTTTCCTTCTGGCAATAGATTTGGTAAGTCGCTTTGTTTCCACTCTATAAGATTTGATAACCTAAAAAGAGACAAAAAATGTATATCTCTATTGCAAATACACATTTGCCATAAAACTGGCAATAATATTCAACATAAAGAAAACTATTTTTAAAACAAAACAGATCAATACTTCATGTGTTTATTTCTAATTATATTTACCTATAATTTTGTATGTTGAGCAGAATATTGAATACATATTAAGATGTGGGTAGCATAATGGTTACTGGTACAAAAAAAGTGTAATCATCAATCCAAACTCCTGTTAAGGTTATTGTGTTTGCTTTGCACTAATGCCCCTAGGAAAGGAATGAATCTATCTTCCTACTACAACAATGAGTAAAATAATAGAGCAAACTGAATTCTGTAGCTTTAGTAAGGCAGTCTAGGAGAAGGACAAGAGGAAATCATTCTACAACCTTTTTCAAGAATAGTCAAGGCAAGCCATGATTGTATACATTTTAAAGGAAGATTCCATTTAAAGAGAAATAAAAGCATCACATCCATTTATAAATCAATAAGATTATTTGATTTTACTTATATAATTTCCATAGTTTAATATTTCTGGATTATTCCCTCAAGAAATAAACATCCCAACTACAGCTTAAGAAGATTTGTTCCTTTGTAATTTTTTACTAAAAATAGGACTACATAAGATAAATGCTAAAGGTTTGAATAATTATCAGAGAAATGTTACTTGAAAATGTCAGAATTCAGCTAGAGGAGAAGGGTAATTGACATATTGGCATTTAATTAAAGACATCAATTTTATCAGATGAGGTGATTTTCATCTAAAATCGTGGAAAGAAATAGGGAAGAAAATACTGTAACTTGAGAGGTTGCTTTCCATATATACCATGCCAAATATTATTATACAATGTAATTCACAATTGATATTAGCTAACCAGTGCTGGTAAAAATTTCAGAATATACTTGTATTAAATGATAAATATAGTACCAGATATTTTTTTTTATCAGAAATATTTACAATAACTTATTTGGTTGTGTCAGACTCTATTATGCAACTTAATGGTTATTCATATTGCATATATATATATATATATATATATATATATATATGTGTGTGTGTGTGTGTGTGAATAAAGACAAAAAAGGAAACTTGACTTAGTCAACGTGTACTGCCCTCTGATGGACTTTATCGAGGTGAATGTCAGGATTTTATTTTGCAACAATTCAGACCTTTTACAGATATTTTTAGTTATATCTGAATTTTTAATTATATAATAGTATAGTTATTGATAATTTTAATTTCAGATATATAAAGTTTGCCATGAATTGTAATATATATATATATATATATATATAGACTCAAAAGAGAAATAAGATATTATAAAGTTATTGAGTGACAAGAGCAATGTTAAAAATGACAATAAAATGGAAAAGATGTTTTTTTTTTAGTGTGGTGCAGGACACAATCAAGAATCATTAACGTAAAGAGCATATTCATTCAAGACAATGCCCCATTAAAGTCTGACCATCTTGAAAAAAAAAAAATTCAAACAATGAAATGACCCTTAATGTATCTAGATATTAATCCAATAGAAAAAAGTCAGCGACCATTAAGGGATGTATATGAGAAATAGGAAACAAATTTCTTCTGGTAATATTAAAAGTCAAAACAAATAAATCAATAATTGAGAGACTGATGAAGGTTATAGAATGTTAAGGATTGCATATTAACATGAAATAGTCAAACATATGGAATATTGTGCTAATGTTTCTATTACTTATATCTTATGAATTTATTGATAAATAAACATTCATGCTGCATTTTGAATAACAAAACCTGACACATTCATAACAATATTTTAGTAAGTATAGGAACTCATATGATACATTGTTCATATATCTTGAAAATTTTATCAATACTGATCGGTTAATACTAATACCAATAGTGAAAAAATTTAATAATAAAATGTATAATATTGTGAAAAGACTGGATAATAAAATCTGACAGCATAATCAAAGTTGACATGATTAGCAAAAATGCTAAAAGCATTTGACCCTGTTAAAACTTTCCACTGATATGATGTGACATGCTCACCAACTATAATAGTAGATACAAAAAGTATGTAGCTTGCAACAGTTATTTTTATAACAATAGTTCTTTTGACATTTATTAGGTTATTGCTCAATAGGAGATTGAAAAAAAAAATATCTTTGCTTTAAAATTTTCTTAGTGTTCTATATTTTGAGAAATAAACTCTTATATTTTCAATTCTATTAATTTGATGAGTGAAAGAACAATGTAACCTATGCATCATTTTCCTCAGTCATTACATTATTACACTGACTAGTTGTGATTGGTACCCCCGCCCCCTAAAAATTATAGTTATATTTGATTTTTGTTTTTTTAAAGCATTTTTTATTTTTTCCTTCAAGGTTTCTGACACTGGGCATTATTGAGAATATTCAAGAACTATTCAATTCTGGACATATGCAATATGCTTAAAAACAGGTTACAATGTAGATGTTAACACATTTTTGAACTACAAAGATTTTTTTTTAAAAATAGATAATGTTCTTTTTACCTTAACCTCTTTACCCTCCTCTTCATTCCATTTGACCTCAAAGATTTTTTTAATACCATTTTTCTCATCAACAAGTGACTCATCTTCTGCTCCCACTTCCGGAACAATTTCATCTGCAGGAATAATTCACAAGTTAAAAGAATCTAATTAAAATACATATTTGTTCTTGAAATAAAAAGAACTTATAAATTAATATTAAATCATTCAATAATTACTTAATACACAAAAATGAAACTTTTTTTTAAATATCAATCAATGTAAATGAATAAATAAAAAGCTTAAAAAAAAGATTTTTTACCCATGCAAATCTTTTGGAACCTGGTCATTAAACTTTTAAAAGCATTTTAGTTGACATGCTCTGAAAACCTTCCAGTAATGTCTCAAGTACCCAAACAACATTTATTTATGTATTATTCTCATCTTTGTTTTGATCATTATATTTTAATCTATAAAGTTCTATCTGGATTCGTCACATGGACATTTTGTTTCTCCAATAGCCAACCATAGAAGTGTAGCCATATTTCAGAGAATCTCCTTTAGACTTTTTTTTTTTTTTTTTAGTTTCTTGTCTCAGATAAACATCTAAACAATTGTTTTTTTTTAACACCTTATTTTCAAATGTCACTCTTGCCAAGCTTTTATTTAAAGTGGAATTTGACATTTTGAATTAGAAGTTCTAAGTGTTAAACCTCCATGAGGTAGAAGATGAAGAAAAAAAACCCAAGAAAAAAAACCAGACCTCTGGGTACTTTGTGGTATACTAACAAAATTCAAATCACTTAGTTTTGCTAAGCCTTTCATATTAACTTATCAAAATTAATCCCATTCTAACTAGTTACCAAGTGCAGATTTACTTACTTGTAAAATCCACACCAGTAATTGTTACAAAGTGCAGCAAATATCTAGTTATTTTAGAGTTAAAATCCATTTTCATATTTTGTGAAACTAAATATCAATATTTACTAAGCTTAGCTAAAATCAGCAGCAAATGAATGTTTATAAGCCAGTTCTTTTAATTTTAAGCATTTAACAATGATTTTTAAGAATTTAAAAGCATACCCGAGGCAGTTACTAAAATAGAATACAGATTTGTTAGTACCATATTAATGTTTATAGATTTATTATTTAAAAAGTAATCTAGTAATTTTTTTCCATATTGGCATTTAGGTTTAGTAACAATTTCTGAAGCAATAAGCTCAATTAAAACTTCTCATAAAATTTGTATAAATATCCTCTGAGGAATTTCTTACATTTTTTAAACAACAATCTCTCACTACTACAGATTTCTGCTTCTTAGGTAAATAATCTGACAAGTCCTAATTTGTCAGTAAGCATTTTGGAAAATTAACTGAATCATACTGCACAGCATGAAGTCTAACTACTCTTTTCTCTCTATTCCACAGAGTAATAAAAAAAAAAAATCAATTTATTCTGATAATTTTACTAGTGTTACTAGTATAAAATCTTTATTTTCATAGATTTATGAATAAATGTACATTTTGTACATATAGAATAAATTATAACAACTTAAAGTAAAGAATTTTTAAAGATTTTGAATGTCAAAAATTTCAGAAATAAAAGGAAAATGGGTATCTGCCATTTTAGCGTCTTCCGTTTTTTCATATCAAATGCTGAATTACCGCCCTTTGATTACTTTACCTAGCCTCATATTCTTGGCATACATTTTTTCCATAAATAAATAAAAATGACTATGACTAATTAAAATTCGAACTTGTAATCTTTAGCTAAAATGAAAATAATTAAAATAAAATTCTCTTTTGAGATCTAAAAAGTTACATAAATTAAATTACATTTTAGGCGCAATTTTTCGTTTTATTTCGGCTGCATATTAGATGTTATTTTCTTAAATTTTTATTGGTTTGAGAAGTTGAATTATACATTTTTTTAAAAATTATTTATGAAAAAAATGTGTGCCCACAATATGAGGCTGAAAAAGGAAATAAATAGAATTCATAAAGTAAATATTGTCCACTTTAAATCAAGATTACTGAATTTTTATGCATATTTTTCGAATCCCTTTCCTATCAGGTGAAAGATTTTAACTCAAAATTTGAATTGTAAAAAAAAAAAAAGTCATCAAAACGTAGTCTGATTTTCTGATAAACTGCAGTGTTGCAGTTTATCAGAAAACTGTGCATGCAAATATGCTTTAATTTTTTTGAGAAAATATGATGTACAGTTGTACACTGACCGTAGATTAAGGAGATCGCTATTTTTGAGCTAAGGTACTAGTAGATGTATGAATAAGTAAGTCCAAAATTTAATTTCAAATTATAGGTTACTTACCATAATTCCAAATGCATTGACTTTTTATTTTTAAAGCAAATTTTATTTGGGAAGTGACCATTATTTCAAATTAATACATGTTAATACATAAAAATACAGGAGGCAAATATGTGTTAAAAATGACAGTGGTGCACGTGCCTCTGCTTCTTGCATATAAGAAAGTGCGAGTTAGTTTAATCATCATAGCCATAATTAATGGAGGATTTAGACAAGACTATCAGTTTATTTTAGTTTTTAATAGCTTTTATTAAAATAAACAACTTTCAGATTAAGAAAAAAATAAACTTAGAAATTGATAAATATATATAGAAATTGTGAGCATTAGATCAAATTTTGTAACTTACTTTTAATTCTTAGAACTTGAATAAAAAAGACAATGCGACATCACGGACAGCTGTTTTAAAAACTTATTTAAGCCTTTAATTTTACATTTGTACACAATAATATCCAAGTATAAGAACCTAAACCATCACTTCGACCTTTGCTTATAAACGTGTGAAAACTAGACTATCACGAAGTAATGCCTACTAGACATATTAGAAAAAGACCGGGAATAAAAAAAAAAAAAAAAAAAAGGATCGGGGGAAACTTGCCTTCTTGCTCGACCTGTTCAGCCCAGCTCATTCCCACAGATTTCAGGCTAGAAAGAGACGAGAAAGAAAACGATGCCATTAGGAAAATAAATAAAATACTTTATTTTTAATAAATATCGATAATTAATGTTTCTTTAAATATAGAAAATTAAAGGAAATTACTTACTCATCCATCTTGGAACACGCTGTTAATAACTACAATGTCGTCCTATGCCCACAATGCACTTCACTTCCGGTTTAGGAGTATAAAAAGCGGGCGTGCACCGTCAGTTTTTGGTTTCTTTTTGTGTAGAAAGAGGGGAAAAAATGTGGCATTAGCTTCACTCGAAAATAGTCTAGTATTTATGAAGAGAAAAATAAAAATGTATTTTGTTCATAAAAATTGTGCTTTTTCTTCTTTTTAATCTTTGCATTGAGTTGCTTATGATTAAAAAATTACGTCCGCTGAATTTTAAATTTAATTTTTTAAGTAATTTTAACTGGAAATTGGTTGACGTTTTTAAAAAAGTATTTTAAATCGAATACTCAATTAATGAAAAACATTTAAATGAAGGTATAAAAAATAATTTTATATATTTGAATTTGGTGAGGGAATATCAAAGAATTAGGCTACATTGGTAAGAAAAAAATTTCTTTTTGTTTGACCAATAATAATTGGCATTGGTGAACTAAAACCACAATGTTTTAATTTTTAAAGTTCATATGCGATTTCTATGTCTATTCGTTCCTATTTTCAAGTCGTATTTTAATTAACTTTTTTTTTTACCTTATTTTCAGTTTGCTAACAACTTGCTAGCGCTACTTCAAAATCAAACACTACATTTTTCTTTAAGGAAATATGTATATTTTTTGCTGGACACCCAAATTCTTTAGGAATGTTACTCAAACAGTTACACACGTTCATTTTTCTTTTTGGATACTGTATCGTGAATTTGGCGTCATATTTTTCAATAATGCCAAACTATGGCATATATACAGCAACAAATAAATAAAGGCAAAAATTATGATGGTATTCCTAACTGGGAGGGGGTAGATTAGTTGACAGACGTATGTAGTAAGCAGAAGCTGCTTGCTTACTACATACGTTTAACGTTTGTCAACTAAAGCATGAATGATTTTGAAATCTGGAAACTTTCCAACTCTAATTAATTCATAAACAATGGATAAGGAGCTTAATTAATTAATTCTTAAACAACATAGATAATCTTAATCAGAAATAAAAGATGACAAAAATATACTCATACAGTTTTTTTTCGTATTCCATTCAGAAATGTTAAGGGTCCCCCACCCCAAAGAGGTACGAGGAGGCAAATTGCTGAGTTTCAATAACTTGTAAAATTTTAAAATAAAAAATTGTATCAGAAATTCATTATGTGGCTAGTGTTAAACAAGTAAATTTTGAATGAGGCTTAATTTTTAAATATTATTCACTTAGATGAGTATGATGAAGCTTTGACATTTTTTTTTTGTTTTCAACAAACTTACTTAACTAAAACTTTATCTATCATTGGAAAAGTGATTTGTAAACATAGAATCTCTCTCTAGTGACTAAATAAAAATCATCAACCTCTAAAGTACTGGATATATTCTGGTTTATAAAGGAAAAGGTGGTAAAGAAACTTAAAAAAATTGTCACTCTCCTTTTACTTTATGGATTTTAAAGAGAAAGACTTACGTAACTTTAATTATTAATTTACTGCTCTCTTATTTTGAATTTACTAATTTACTTTTGAATTAACTTTTATTTATTAATTTACTGCTCTCCTACTTTGAATTTAAAAATTGAAGTATAATTTTTATATTTGTACACAGGGATAAAAAAAATATATTTCTAGTCTAGGGTTTAATTTTTTTGAGTGTCACAGTACTCACAGTGTCTGAAGAAAAGTTCTGAAGAGTGAAGGAAGAAGTTTGAAATTTACATCAGTTTCTGTTTGTTAATTGGCTTTTTACTTTTATAAAAATTGCAAAATGGAGACCACTTTTAATTTTGTATTACATTCTGATAGCCACAATATGTTAGGGACAGACATATTTTAAACACATACACACACACAAAATAATGATTTAATCTTTCAAAAATAATTTTTCTAGCTTTTTAGCCTCAACGACATCAGAAATCTTTTTTAAAGGGAAACAATCATAACTAAGTTTGACGGTATAGTTATGAAGCAGTTATGCCCCTTATATCAATCTATTTAAAATTTATTTATTTATTCATGTAAGCAATCTCAGCAACAAAATATATATTGTTTTAGAGTTTAATAGTATAATGATTTATTAATTTCAAACAATATATCTTTACAAAAATTTGATAATCCATATAATTATAATTATTAATTCATTTATTGATCGTATAAAAGTTGTGTTTAAATTTTACATAAATTATTATTTTCTGTTTCTTAGAAACACTCAGAAATTTCTCTGCTGATGCATTTATAAAAAACTTGACATATCCATTTCAAAATATAGCTTATTGACCGGAAAAATATCGAAATGAATCTCTGGATTTGTTTTCACATAAGTGTCATTTTCTTACAAGTATGAAATTCAATAAAAAATATGTATATTATTTTCAATCAAGTGACACAGTAACAAACAAATTTAGAGACCTATCTGGTATTTTGTCAATAATACTAACCTTAATTCGTAACCATTGATAATTTCTTTCTTTCTGGTTTTAAGTACACATTACAGACATTCTGGGAGTTAAATAATTTTTTTAAAAATTACAAAATTTCGTGTTTAATCATTTTTCCTCTTAACAGTAGAAATAAACTATTATAAAAAATATTACAAAGTAAAATAAATGATCAATAAAAAAAAATAGTTTAAATAAATGAACATTAGTTTAAGTTTGTCTTTTACACTTACTTTTTTTTGTGAGAAATAAAAAAAAAAAAACCAAACTGTTTATAAAAAATTAAATTTTATGTGATATATTTAGAAACGTTTAACAAATTAATGTAAATTTGGCTAAAAAAGAACAGCCAAAAATAATTTTGTCAGGCCAGACTGTTTGTGATTTTTTTCAGACCTGAAAAATATATACACCTGGTATTTTTCTTTTGATCAGAAGGGTGGCTTCCACCCACATAAATTTAGGTTGAGACTCATGTGGAGCCTCTTCGAGGATCTATAGGAAAACAGGTCAGTGGATAATTGCAAAATGTAAAGAAAATTTCAGTCAGAAGGTGTAATAATTTTTGTTCAGAAGGTAACAAAAATTTTCAAGTCAGAAAACCTGAAAATTTCGACCTGAAGATACAAAAATAAGGTTCCAGAAAGAAAAACTATTTTTTCACCCGTGGAATGAGCTGAGCTGTTTCTCACAGAAGAAGCAAACAGGAAAAAAAAAAAAAAAGAAGTGAATCAAGTGAAACCTGTAAATAGAACTGTTCTAAAGAAGAAAAAAAATTGTTAAAAGTTCCAGTGTTGCAAGTGAATTTTGCCAAAGCACCTTTCTGTTTTTTTCATCTTTCAATTAAGTTGGTGCACCTCTTTTAAAGAGTATTTTTCCACCTTATTTAAAGATTTTGTATTACCTACTCAAGGTTTTTTTTCCATTACTGGAAGTTTGTATTGTATATCTTTAAGAGTCTATAATTTTCTGTATTTTGTTAGTAATAAGGTGCACAAAACTTTTTGTGCAAGCCAATTTTGTAAAAAATTTATTTTATATTATTTTAATGACTATGTAATAAATGTTTCTTCCTTTCAAATTTCACATAGTTATTTTGAGTTTTTTTTTTGTATGTTCCTTTTTCTATTACCAGGATAAGAGAGATAACATTTTCTCTTTTCCATTCCTTTTCAGGGAAAAATTCCTTTTACTATGTTAGGCATACAAATCAATGTTTTCACAATAAGATTGGTATTAACCAACCAATGTTGTTAAAATCTTCAAGATATATTTAGATAAATATAACATTTGCTTATAATGTCTGTTTCATTAGAAATATTTACAATAGCTTATTTGGTTGTATGAAATTCTATGATATGATTGAAGTGTTTAGATTTGAGGGTGATGTAATGGCTAGCAGATCAGAATGAGAAATTAAGTTTGCATTTCAGTCAAGTTTGTTAGATTCATTTACATGCAAAATCGCTTTGGAAATGTTTGAATCTAACTCTTTTCCCCACTCCCCTGCCAACTATGTGTTAAATAGCAGGATAGACTGGGCTCTCTAGCCATGATTAGCAACCAGTCTTGAAGAGTTGGACCTGGGACTAAATCACAAGTGGCCTTTTGGCAAGGCATAACACATGGAAGCCACTCCTGCAAGAGTTATGGTGAAAACATCAACAGGATGTTGGATGTAGTCAAGAGTAGAATCTAACAACAGACTAGATTTGTGGCATTGAACTACAATGGTGCGATGCAAAAAAAAAAAAAAATTCTTCATACTGGACAAAGGTTGAAACCTAACTATTCCAAATTAGATAGAAACTGCAGGAACACATTGAGTAGTACTGTAGTAGAATTAGGTAGTAGTAACACCATATGAAAATATACACTTTCCTCTTTACTAAGTGAGTGACAAAGAAAACTCTCTCTCTCTCTTCTATACATGTTCTTTCCTTTCCTTCTATTGTTTCTATCCTGGGTAACAGATATGAAACTAGACTTAGTTTATGTGGGTCAATGAACGTCATATAAAAATCAACTGATGATAACATGCCCCGCCAAAAATCAAACAGGAAACATGGATGTGTCAGCCCCAATAAAAAAAAGAAAACCACATATGAGACTAGAGATGCAGCAGTGGAGAGGAACTGAATTTGAGGTAGTCATTTGAGACGCAAGGGTTGGTGATTCATTGGCTGTGAGTTTGACCTGACAGACAACTCCAAAAGAGAAAGAAGAAAGAAAGGATGAAGGATGAATGCAACGAATTAATTTCTGTCAACCAGAAGGAACACAACAACCCTGTATGAACTCTCAAATCAAAAAAAGAACTATGACAATAGTCAACCATTTTAAACACTGTAATCCAAATGGAGTCAACAATAAATGGTACTATAGACAGTAAATTTGGCCTTTACTTCATCTCTATATACCATAGTACCTTCTGTCTACTAATATATGTGCAACTGAAACTCCTATGATAACACATGGTGGTGGACCCAACTGATGACACAGTAAGTTTAGTGAAGGGTTATTTATCATATTG